AAAAAAAAAAAAAAAAAAAAAAATATTATTGAAATATGATCTTGGAAAATTATCACTGTAAGTATATTAATTATGGTTATGTATGATTATCATCATTTATAACTAACCTACTCAGACTCTATACAACTAATGTACTTCATTATTATTTTTAATTCTTGACAAAGCTAATATATTATTTCTCAACATTTAAAAAAAAGTAAATTATGTTCTACCTATATATACACTGCCATTATGTCAAACTCTTGTAAGTTCGTCTACATACTCGTAACTTTGGTTAAAAATGTATCATTTTTTTGGTTGTTAATAAATTTTAATTTCTCCTATATAACGTATTACAGATTTTTATTCAATACAATGGATATCGATCGATCGTTATATCGATAACATCGAATGTATTAAAATTATAGGTATGTAGGTACGCGTAGCATATTTACTTCGCGTGGACCTACATTGTAATCCTAACACGGATAAAGGAAAAAGACAAAAATACGGCTTAGACAGTAAAAATAAATTATATAATATTATTAAAAAAAAAAAGTTATAAAAAATGGTAACTGTAATAATATTTAAGAAAATGAAAACTGTCCACGGACAATGCGCAATAAACAATAATACAAATATTAACATCGTGTCGGCGTACAGCGTGTTTACTACCGCATAATTTTAACATAATAATATACGAACTGTATAGGTATATAAGTAAGTTATAACGCCGAGATTAAACTTTTGAACTTTCACAATAATAATTAAATAATATGGCAATGTACCTACACGTTAGCTGGGATAAGTAAAATTAAATTGTTCGTTCGTAAATTATTACTGAACGATCGGCCGGAACATTCTCACAACAGTTGTGCGGCCACTCAATCTCACCAACCGCAAACCGATTCCAATATAAACGGGCCAATGAAACGACGATGACATTATATTATTATGATATTATATTGTATGCGACACGGCGGCTGTACACCCGACAACGGTTATTGTTATGATGTTCACTTCTTGCGGTTATTATAGTAGACGCGCCCGGATGTCGACGACTTCGGATAGCACCTGGTCATCGCGTGGCCCGTGTAACCCGGCGGACAGGAGCACGTGGCCACACGGTTGCGGGCGTTGCACTCGGCGTCCACGCCGCACTGGCCAGTGCACACGTTCCGGCACTGGTAGTCGACGCACGTCTGGTCGTGACGGCACTCGGCGTCGGCGGAGCACTCGCCGCGCCTGCACCGGGACAGCGCGTCGCCCGTGTAGCCGGGCAGGCACGTGCACACCGGCCGCTCCTTGCCGGTGACGTCGTGGCCGGGCTGGCACCGGGCGTTCTCGCCGCACGGGTTCGGTTCGCAGAGGTCGGCCGGCTCGAACGGACGGCACCGGACGAACGGGTCACCGGTCATGGTCCGCGGGCAGCTGCATATGGGAGTCGCACCCCGCGCCTCGCAGTTGGCGTTGATGCCGCACACGTTGCCGCTGCACGGGTTCACGCACCTTTCGCCCGAGCACGCCGGACGGTCCGCTGGACAGTCGGCGTGCGACAGACATTCGGCCCGGCAGGATGTGTACGGGTCGCCGAAGTAACCCTGCGCAGGATAGACACACAGGTTAACTTTTGCGATGAGATAGGTACCATTACTACGTATTAACATTATTGGTTATTATTAACAACGAGAGTCTGGTATAATATTTGTTAAGTGGAGTCTCACGGCCGTTCCGTTAAGGACAACAATTAATGGGACGCTGAAATGGTATAATATTATAGTATAATAGTAGCCTTATCCGTATTTCTTCAGTTTAGTAGCGGTAACTGTAATTTTACATCTGTTTTTTCCCGCACGGATATTTTGAGTACGACATTTTTTTGAATAGTAGATTTTATGTCTTGACTCGAACTGTTTAAAACGCGTTTTAAAGATTTTTTTCGATCAATGCAACGGTTAAAAGTTTATATTTTTAAGCAATTTTCATTTGTTTGGTTCCTTTGAATTGAATTTCTACGGTTATTTTAAATTGTTCACATTAATAACGACCTGCAGGCGGAACGAAGGGTCTAAGGACTATTATATTATTATGTGTATTTATAGGTGCATGTGATAAATTCATTATTTGTTCTTATTTATAATTGTAAGCGATTTACTCCCAACTATCAATGATTTCGGTGCAAATGCTTAATACAAATTTCCGTGCAATATTGTTTTTTGGTACATATTACCAAAATAGTATCAAATAATCGTTTTAGGGTACTATAATCCTAATAAATTGTTGTACTCTGAGGTTTGAAGTCGGATTGATGTTGATCGTTTATTTTACTCGCAATATATTTAATATACCTACATTTTATTTATATTTATTAATTAATATCTTAAAATAAACTGTACCTTTGATTTACATCAAATCTAAGTACAAGTATTATTATTAATAGGTATTATTGACTTTATCACATAACCAATGAACTTGAGGACAATATTTAGATGAGATTGTTCGAAAAATGTAAATTTCGAACTATGGAACACACTTGGCTTTTCAACGTTATGGCATCGTTATAATATAACATATTATATACATATGCTAAAATATCAAGTCAAAAACTCACCTTCGGACACGAACAGGAAGCCCGGTGGTTGTGGACATCACATATCGCAGTCGGAGCACAAGTTCCCGCAGAGCATGCGGAAGTGCACTTGTACTGTTGGCACATCTGGGACGGACCGCAATCGTAGTCGGAGTCGCATTCGTGACGGCAACCGGAAGAAGGCGAACCGATGTAACCCGGAAGGCAGCTGCACACCGGCACGTCGTTGATCACTTCGCATTTGGTGTTTTGGCCACACGGGCTGGGGTAGCATAGTTCTTCTGGAAAGTGTTTGATTTAGATTTAGATTTAAATTTAAATAAGCACAATATTCTTCAACCACCAAATTAAATTAAATTCACAATTCAAAAATATTATTATTGAAAAAGTCAACTGGTTTTGATTGCCACCGTGGTTACACGATGTCTTCTCTAAAAGCCATTATTTTACTTACTTTAATTAATAGTGCTATTTTAAGGTTACCCCTAAAGTGTATTGAATAGAAAATTATATATATTCTAGCAATATTCCGTCCGTGGAAAAACACATTATGTAAAAAATAAACATTCAGACATTCATACAATTTTAATTTTTGAGAACATAGCTTTGCGTTAAATTTTAATTGTCCCTCTCTACGTGCCTAATGATATTCTAGATACTGGATTGAAATATAAATCCGCGCATGAAGAAGCAATAACATTTTACCAAAGATCTCACAACTGAATAGTTTCGCACTTTAATCCATTAATAAAAAAATTCTGTGCACTAATAACCGCAGAAAACCCTCCATGGTTACTTAACATAATTGGTGTTGTGATCTATTAAATACTAAAATAAATATACATTTTTATGACTTTTATCAATTTCAATATAGAAACTAAAAATGTTTTACAGTCTTAAGAAACATCAGTGAGAATGGGTTCTTTTAAAAATTATATATGTTCATTTAATTTTCTCTATTACCCATAATGTGCTTATTATGTCCCGAAGTAGGTGCATATTGTATAACAGCGGTTCTTAACCATAGGGTCGCGACCCAATTTTGGGTCGCTAATAATTTGAAATGGGTCGGCTAAAATTTAAAACGTTGGTATAATATTTTTATTTTTAAGCGTTATAATAATATAATATAAATAATAAATGAAACCGTTTTCGTAAATTCACAGTATTGATAATTGGTACAAAGAAAGTTACGTATCTTTCAGATATATTTTCGTTATTAAATGAGTTAAATTTGAGTATGCAAGGGCCATTAACTAATATTTTTACATGTTATAATAAAGTTGAAGCTTTTCTAAAGAAACTTGATCTTTGGATAAAACGAATTCAGGAAAATACATATGATATGTTTCCATCATATTATAATATGACTGAAGAAAAATTATTAAGAAAAAATGAAATTAATATAATGCAATGTCTAATTAAAACACATTTGTCGAAAATTAAAAAATAAATTATTAAAGTATTTCCCACCATCTCATGATATTCGATCAAACAATATGTGGATTCTTAACCCGTTTTTGCCCTGTGAAAATCATGAATTATCTTTATTAAATGAAAGCCAACTATTAGAATTATCGTCAGATAAATTATTAGAACAATCTTTTAACACTAAAAATTTAAACCAATTTTGGATATCTTTAAGAAATGAGTATCCTAATCTTTACGAAGAAGCATTAAAGAAATTAGTTCCTTTTGCAACAACATATTTATGTGAATCCGGATTTTCGACACTAACTACGATCAAAACCAAAGCAAGAAATAAGCTTGATGTCGAACCCACGATGCGTATTTCACTTACTAACTCCATAAAAGCTCAAATTGATTCATTGGTGAAGCAACATCAAGACCAAGGGAGTCATTAAGTTCTTCATTATTTAAATTAAAAATTATTTAAAAAAATATGTACAATACAATTATTAAAAGAAATGTTTATTTTTAAATATAATTTAATTAATATTATGACCTGTTATTAGTACAAGTAATATGAGTAAAAAAAAAATATTAAATTAAGAGTACCCAATAGTTATTTTTTATTCTGCCATTGAACATTATTTTATAATAAGGTCGCATGAAAAATTTGGTAAATATCTTGGGTCGCCACTACACAAAGGTTAAGAACCGCTGTTGTATAATATCTAAATCAAAAGGGAAAAATACAACACTCAAACGTGTTTGACGGTATGAACAAAATCATTTTTGAAATTCGCATGTTAAATATAATTTTATTTAACCAAACGCGGCGTAGGCGCTCCTTATATGCATAATTATGTGGTGATGACTTGAAAAGGATATTTCAATCGAACAACATAATCAAAAATATTGTCCGATTACACCTCGGAGTATTTGTAACCAAAATTATAAACTAAAATGTTTATAACTACATTAAAAACTTTCTATCATATCAATGTAAAATTATTTACGTGGGTCCATTTGGCGGCAAGACACGGATGGATCACCGACATGACGGGCTGGACAGGAACACACAGCAATATGATTCCTGGGTGAGCAGTCTGCGTTACGTCCGCATTGTCCTGAGCATACATCTTCACATTTGTAATTACGGCAAGCTTTCGAGTTTGGGCAGTCTTGATTGACTAAAAATAAAAAATAATAATTAAATATTTATCTATTGTTGGGTATGCCGTCTGGGTAGATTTCTTCTTTCCGCCGAATTAAAAAAAAAAAATCAGATTTTATTCACTTCACCGTATAGCGAATATTTGTTAAAATAAAAATAAATGTTTATGATCATATGATGAAATAATTATTTGTGTTGGCGATATTGAAATATTACAAAAAAACACAACGACAGTAATATCATATCATACCTACCTATACCTAAACTATATGTATAAAGTGTATAGCATAAAATGGTCACCGTTGTTTTTATTAGGTAGATATTACATAATATTTGCCATTTGTCAAGTGAACATATGAGTGACTAATGGAATATACAGGTAAATTATCATTAAAAAAAAAGTTCTGGAAATTATTTTAAGATAAACGAAAAATAAAACTTATGCAATTATCTCGGGTTTTTTTTTTTTTTTTTAATGCAAAATTACAAGTTTTGAATGAAACCGTCCCACTGTTCCAGCTAATTTATCACCTCGGTATAATGTTGCGATTATAATATATGCGTGTAACGACAACGGCACCCGAGTTGTCGAAAAGACAAAATATTGAATATAAACCCGCTGAATGCTATAATATCGTAATATTATATTGTATATGGTATATACTATATATATATAGTAGTTATGTCGCAATCGAAAAAATAATATTACGATTTATGACAAAATAATAATGATATGACTACGCGTTTACCTTCGCACTCGCCGCGTTGACAGTAGGTCGTCGGATTTCCCCAGTGGCCGGGCAGACAGCTGCAAACGGGTCTTCCCTCGGCCACGCGGCACTGAGTGTTGGAACCGCACGGACTTGGCGAACACGGATCAGTGTACCGACTCGTGTACGACGTCGGGTTGTAGATGATCATACCTGTTACAAGCACGCACACATTTCATAAGCATTTAAGTCGACGCGGTCACATTGTCATTTATGATAGACATGCAGGTAACGGGGGCTGTGCAGGAACAGACACCCCCTCGCCAAATTCCTGTAGTTACAACTATGTGTCAAATGTTAAATGTTGGTTTCTGAAAAATTCTATAAACTCGTTGACGATCGTCGAGCCTCGTCGTTGTAGTTATTTTATGTTTTTATAGTTATCACTTATCACTTATCGTTGTATAATTATTGTCGCTACAGATGGTCGGTAGGTACATGAACAATTTATTGGAATGTGTAATTATTTATTCATTTCACTGATCAACACCTGAACCGACTATTTATTTTGTGGTACACACATAACATAGCAAGAAAATAATATGTGAATAATATTATAATAAACACGATGATTGCGATGATATCAAACACCCTGAAAAGCAAAACGTACTTATTGTTTTCTTTTTTTTTTATGTGTAAATTAATGATAATTTTTTTCCTTTCAAATGTTGGCACCAATTTTATACTCATTTAAACGATTACTTTAAAATCAACTGAATATATATGCTATATATACGTAAATAATATTTTACTCATATACATTTGTAGTATTATTTTCATTTAGGGTTTTGATTATCATGATAATCGACAAAATATAACATCCCTATTAAAGTTATAAACCTAAAAATAATAATTGTGAGATAAATAATTATTTACCTATTTAAAAGTGAGATTTCGTAAATATGAAGTTCATGCATCTATCAAAGCAATAAGTAATAAATAATAATGAACACTCTGGACAAAATTGTTTATACTATACAGACATTTTATACGTAATGACTAATTAAATAATATTTAAAGATTACCGATCTTTGGTACCTACACGAAACTTATTTTGCTGGTAAATACATATATTTTTTCCCTTTGATAATTTTTTTTTGTATTTTAATACATTAAACTTCAATAGAAGGTTTTAATAAATAAAAATATCATCTACCATTTTTTTCAAACGTATTTGTTTGTTTTAGTTAATTTAAAATATTAATACTATTTTCAACAATATACATTTTAAAGAATTATGATTGTTTACTTAATTACCTTGTGTTATATGACCGATTGTGACGGCCACGAGGCCCAGCATTCTTAAACACTAAATGGTAAAAACAAAAAACAAAAACAATTATAATATTTCTTGTGAAGCTAATATAATATTATATAACTGTATTTTTTTTGTAATATGTCTATACGTATATCTGATACAGCTAAACACACTCATCCCAACATTGACCTCAATCTAAACATCTTTAACGATAACAAGGATATTTGACTAGTTATGGGCATTAAAATATGTATGTAGGTATCGTCGTTTTGGTGTTGGCCGGGGGGCATTTTAACGATTAATTATGTCATATGGACAATTTTATAAGCTAAAGCTTGCTGTAGCTTTCTTAATTCGAAAAAACATTCCGGAACTCAAAAAATAAATCATCAAAAAAATTGTAAGAAAAAATTTAAAAAAAGGATTTTTCAAAAATTTTTTCGTACAAATCTTCTCCTGACAATTACGAACAATTAAAAAAAAATTTGAGCCAAATCGGCCCAGCCGTTCTCAATTGATGAATTGTTATACATTTTTGGCTCCATTTATATGTAAATAGATTACAATTTTAAAATTTCAAGGAATAAAAGATATAATAACAATATGATTATCATATAATTTCCCGTGTATGGTGTGATAGACATTTAAACAGATAATTAGAAACATTAATATTTAAATTACAATAATTGCTTATAATATTGTTTTGAATATTACAAAGATCAAGACTTAGATTTCAGACAAATCGTATGTATCATTATGTGATAAATAATCTAAAATTTATTTAATTCTATAATAAATTAAATTTATTATAACGAAAGTTTATAAATATAATAATAATAATAATAATAATATGATTTTATTATGAACCTAACTTAATTAATATAGCTAACTTATCTACTGCATATATCATACGTAAATGAATATGATATATTTTAATCTGTTACCTAAATAATGGTTAATACTATGATGAATTTAACATTAAATATTTAATAGTAATAATATTTATAAGCATAGTATTTTAGCTTACCGCAGTCATGTTGTATCCGGACAGTATCCACCACACACAACTAACTCTTTTCTACCGTCAACGGGAGTATTTATAACATAAGACGATCCTTGCGTTTCATGGTCAAAATACGAAATATGGGCTTGACCAGTCTCGCTTGCTGCACAATATGCCCACCTTTGGGTTACCGACCGCCCACACGGAACAGAAAACTAAGACTTCTGAGCTGGGCGACTATAGGTAGATATCTCTACATAATATTATATTGTGATATGGCGGGACAAGACAATCGCGTAATTGACCAATTCAACGTGGCCACCAAAACAAACGCCCACAATAAAAATATAAAGTTTCTTTTTTTTTTGTTCTCATTACTCAGCTGTACACCTATATAATGTGTACAAAATGGCGTAGGCTATGTAGGAATTGCGAACAAATAATTAATGGTATGCGAAATATTACGCATTCGATTCGATTTTTGACGTCATACAACACCCATTATATGAATAAGTGTATTGCGAAAAAAGACTTTTTGCCTATCAATAAAATCATAACAACAACTACTAGGTGCAAATTGTTTTCGACCCTCGGAATTGTCTTAGAATTTTAGAGCGTATTTGAAATATTTATTATCTATATCAGTTATAGTTATCTATAGGTATACAAGCCTAGTTTACAGAATACAATTTTTATAATTTTACTTGACAAAATAAAGAACCGTCAACTTTTTAAGTATTATATGACAGCACAAGGTAGAAGATTTAATACGTTTGAAAGTTGAAACAAACAAAACAATATTTTAGTTTTATTTCAATGAATTGTAAATATATAGGTAGGTACAGATTAGTAAGGTATTACAATAATTATTGTATATTATACATTTAATATTTATACATATTATGTTATGTATCGATAACGATATTGTTTAGTTAGTACACGATGATATTTGATATACGATATTTCAAAATTATTTATTTGTATTTCAAATCTATTTTATGTTATTTTTGGTTTTCACAGCGTGCTTATTTACTAATTTAAATTTTAACATATTTTCATCCCCCGTGTAATTATGCAATGCTCGCAGGAGTGGTGCGGGTAAGGCGTAATTTATTTTTTCAAATACCTTATCGTTTAGCCAAGTATACATAATTTTGTATGACATAGTAAGTCATTAATAGTTTTTAGTTTTTATATTATGGCTATCTATTTTTGTATTTTTGAGTACTTTTACTACGTATACCATATATAATCACTGAAAATTGGAACTTAGCTATAAATTATAATATAGGTAGTATAGGTATACATAAACATTAAACGTACATACTTCATTAAGAATGTTTTTTTTATTCACCTGTTCCATATTTTTGGATAAGTATTTTGTTTTGAAGATAGTTTAATTGAACGGATTGTTTAAAATTAACTAGGTAACCATATATTTTTTATCTAAAAATTATTTTTACTTCATAAATATGTCTATTTCATGGCCACAACTTCCTAAGTTATTACTTATTGTTATTTTCAAAGTATTTTCCTTACACAATGTGAATGCTTGTATTCCGTTTACAGCAAAAATTCAGGTTAGTACCGTATAAAAGCATACATAACTATATCTATTTTTTTATAATTTCCAACTGAAGATTTGAAAACCCTGGAGTTTTATACAATGCCTGGAAATTCGTGTGTAATGTGAATAACTGTTTAAACATGTTCTATTGTTCTATATTTAACGAGTTTTTTTTATACAATACAATATTTATAGAACGACTGATTTGTCTGCAGGGGCAATGACAACTTTTAAAATAATCTTATACTATGCATTATAGGTGTCTGTGCTTATAAATCATGTTGCAGATGAGTTGTGTAAAAGCTTAAAAGCAATTGAAACTGAAATTTGATTTAATTTCTTATTATAGTTCTTTACCTACCATTTACTTATTATAATATAAGTAATGCGTAGCAACAGTTAGGCGATAGTAGTCGCCTGTTTTTCACTCCCTACCAACCATCTAAGTACCTAGTACAAAGATTGAGAATGTATACTCGATAATAATTCTCATAGTATTAATTAAGTACCTACAATATGTTTATTTTTATTATTATGACGTTTCAAATAATTTCCAAAATATAAACTGGTAATCTGTTTCTTTAATTCTGGTTATCTACTTACCCTTCCTATATAATCGCTTATAACCAAAAAAATAATAATTAGTTTTATAATAAATTATAATTCCAAGTCTACATACGTACTAGTTAAAACTAGAGGTTCTATATTTATTAGTAGTAAACACATTAGATACTGTAAGGTTGTGTATCTTACCTACATAATATTATTACCCATCATGTAATTATAATATTTGATTAAAAAATACTTATTATATTATTTATGAAAGTTTAAAATGTATTTTGTGGGAACTGGGAGTGTAAAAATATATATAATCGACAACAATTCATTTTTGAAATATTAATTAAGAAACTATTTTAACGGACACCCCCAGATAATATTTTATGTGACGTGAATGCTGACCGTTGTGTAGTGGCTTTGTAGTTAATATTAATAATAATAACAATCTACTAATGCAGAAGGCAATTATTAATTAATAATATTATTGTAGAACACTTGCGTATTGTAATGTTGTGGTCTGCGTACTATATACTTTTAATTTATTCATATTATTATAATACACATACTTATTATCAAACACTGATGCATGCTAGAATTTTAAATCCAAGCAAACGAGATTAATACATTAATAATCAATACCGTCGATCTATCGCTAATCGTTTTACTGCCCACACACGTTATAATTACTAACTACAAATAACAATATAATATGATGTTATAAATGAATATTACATCGAATCTTAACTAATATTTAAATACATTATTAATTATTATGCAATGTAGGTCCAACTACTCTGTTAAATACTCGGTTAAATGTAATTAGAATATGATAATAAGTATTTTTGTGGTATGCTTAGATTTTATTGCCAACCTATACTTATCAAAGACTGGAACCTGATGACTGATAGTTCTTTTGGATAACCTCGAGTTGGGTTCTTGATTTCAAAAATAGCATGAATTGGGTCCGGACGTATCTTATTGAGTGCCTACATGAGTTTGTCCAGCTAATTAGCGTTACCCAGAAGACACCACTTGGAGGTTGGCTATAGTAAGTCTTCCAAAATCTTTTTTTTTTGCTATGTTAAAATTATTAAAATATTAAAATAATTATTTAATCAGAATTTTTTTTTAAATTTTCCTTTAACCTTCATTTGCATTATAAAATTATTATAAAATTAGCTTAAAAAATATATCTTTCACAAAAGTTAACTGTAAATTATCGATTTAACAAAAAATGTTGCCTTGGAAAAAATACCGCGGACCCCCACTCATGTTTATTTTAAGCTATCAAATATTTCGGGACCCAACTCAAGTTTTCCCGTTTTTTTTTTTTTTTGATAATTTCAAACATCTTTGATGTCATCTTGTGTAAATTAATTTTGTGTCTACTCTTAAACATACATTTTGAATTGAAGGGGGGGGGGTCAGTCATTCAAAATATGACTTTATAAAACCACCGGATAATAGTATAAACTTTAAACGACTATAAAGCTGAAATTGAATGCATTACGGTGTTATAGTTGGTATTAAATTATTTATATATCCATTAATATTTTATATAAAATCTAGTTAAGTTCATGTTTTTTCTGTAGATAATTTTTAGTTTTTGAGGCTACTTCACAGTCAATGTTCTTTTCAACTCTATGTATACAACATATTTTATATTTTTTTACCAATACCACATTATGATGTGTATAATAATTATGTAGAATATATTATATGTACTAGAAAGCGAGTAATTTGAAACAATAACTTTCGAACGCAAAATGTTGTAATATAAGTACTAATCTGTACCATATTCGTCAGTATTTATCTAGGTACCTAGGTACAGCTATACATAAATATAACGTCTGTTAATTATCATTTGTCATGTTAACTTATAAAGATTGTTACTTAAATTTGCGTGTAAGCCATTAACATATGTGATGAAATATGAATTATTTTTCCAAAGTATTTTCATATTTTTCTTTTGATCGATTTTATTATTTTAGTCGGTTTAAAAAAATGTTAAGGAAATATTCCAATTCATTTTCACGACGACTACACGTAGGAGTAACACCGATTCAATTCATAATGGGAAAGGTCACTTGATAATATATTATGTGAACATTGTGAACAAGTCGTACACAATTATATGCGGCATTCTTAATAATATATTATGCTCATGTGCATCGAATAATATATTAAAAGATTTTAATTTTTAACAATACATTTTGTGTATATTATTATGATATTACGAACCAAGGACAAGTACAAAATCCATAAACGTTAATCATATTATTATTAAGTACTAAAATAAATATTCGAATATTCTATTATAGCTGTTGAGTGTTGACGTTGTCTGAGTGAAAGGTTTGTTTTAAAAAAAATGTGAAAATATGACTTATTTCTTTTAAAATTATAATATTATAGTAAATAATAATATATTATGCAACCTATGGCAACCATTTAAATAAACAGGAAGAATAATCTTTTTTTGTGAACTGAAAAAAAACACGTATGTGATTTACTCTTTTTCCACCTGTATAGTGGTTGAAATAGGCGTACAAACGGGCGAGGCCGTTTTCGACCAAAAACGTACTCTTCCCTTTTCGGCCGATTCACTTTTCGACCAAATTTAAAAAAAACTGATTCCCTTTTCGGTCAAAACAAAAATGTATGTAATATATGTAAAAAAAAAATAATATATAATAATTATTATTATGTATAATAGTAGTGTGAATAATATATGTATAAAAAATAAACTAAAAGGTATAGAATTGTTGTACAATTATGGCCAATATCTATATTAACATTATTTTTATATTTAATTGTATTTTTACAAGGTATATGTAGTAAGTAACTGCAAGACCGATTGCTGTACTTATTTTAGAGTCACTGTCATTAGCCAAGATAAAATATCAATAACTGATTAAATTCTCTCGTTTAATTTTTGGAAAGTCAATGCTTGTGCAATAGTTATATACCTAGTGCCTGTGAGTGTACTTATTCGTTGCATCGTTTTTATAGCTTATAATTTTTTATGTGTAAAAAATAAAATAATGTGTGTCCAATAATATTCAAGTACCTAAGTAGGTATCTACATTTTATCTTTTATTCATAAATAATTTATTATTTCAGACGAATTACAGTCAATGAGGATGGTATTATTACTGCCACTCGCTTAGTCACATAAACTGCAGTCTTCAATCTCAATATTATTAAACAATTAAAATCCGTTACAATAATTAGCTTATTAAACAATGATTATTAAAAGTTCACCAGCTGGTTATCAAAATTAAAAAAAAATTGTTTATATAAAATCAACTAGAGTTAAACTATAGAAAAAAAAATGGGAAGTCGAGCACGGGCGTCAGTAGGCAAAAAAAATGATGTTAAATTACTAAAAATAATGAGTCACATAAGTCTTGTGAAAACTAAGATGAATAAAATAAAAGATGACTTTTTGAAACCAAGTTAATAATATTAGGTTTGTAATATACCTAATAGTTATATAAGTGATATTAACTATTAACAAGAGATATGTACGGGGAATCTGTTTTTGCCCAAAATCAACTTTTTGGTTTTCGCCCAAATGACTTTTTTTACCCAAACACAAAAAAGAGTGATTTGGTTTTCGCTCAAAGAAATATTATTCATAGTAAACGATAAAGCATTTTGGTCACCACTGCCCATTAGGTAAAAGTGGCGTAAACTCCAGAATCTAAATTAAATTATATCTTGCCAGTAAATCAGATAAGTTATAATTGAGCTGAATGTACGGACACAATTCGAGATAAAATTATATGCCACAGTCGTTCGCTCGTGCCGAATAATCAGACAAGTTTGTCAAGTATATATTCGAATTACAATTTATCTTAATAGATTTTACTTTAAATTTAAAATGTCCGTGGTATTTTTAGAAAGTAAAAGAGGAAAAAAAATTATTGTTTTCAACAAATATAAGTATAATTTTGGTTCGGAAAATATTTCAACTGGCTTAATTCGTTGGCGCTGTATGCCTGTATTTAACGTATTTGTTCAACAAGGATATACACGACAACTGATGGAGTAGTAACGAGTGCACTAGATTCCATTCAACAAGACCACACACCATCAAATGAAAACGAAATTAATAGACAAATTGTAAGTACAGCATGTAAACGTAAGGCCGTAGAGTATGCCCATACTTATCCAAAAAAAATAATACTTAAAGAATTATCACGAAATCCCTATATAGATAATTTCACCAATGACGATATAAATAAAATCCAATATGTTTTTTCGTTTACTACGAATAATATTTCTTTGGGCAAAAACCAAATCACTCTTTTTTATTTTTTGGGTAAAAAAGGTCATTTTGGCGAACACCAAAAGGTTGATTTTGGGTGAAAACATGTACGGCCGTGTGCATTTGCACTCCTTTACATACCAATGACAATACTAAGCTGTTATAAAACACATGGTTCAAGTGATATACATTTTCAATATCAATAAAACCCAACAATTAATGTTGAACACGGTTTAATGCTTTTAATTTTATGTTCAACAACAATTTTTTGTTTTAAAGGTTTCAAAAACATACATACATTATTATTAGTTGTACATTTTTTAAAATTGATAAGCCATATAAAAGTTAAAAAATGCATTGACTTCTTAAAACCTCTATATATATATATATATTATGTATAAGGTACATCAGTTACACGATATGGACACATAAGTAATGTATATATTATTGTAAAACTATGCGATTTTATATAACTATTTAAAAAAATGATGTACATACAATTTAAAATATAATTGTATAAATTGTTTCATTGAGGTTTGCTATTCAAAAACAAAAAACATTCAGTTATACATATAATAAACAAAATAAAACTTAAGATGCATGAACCACAGAAATACACTGTTGAGTTGTCATATTAATTAGTAGTCATTTTACAATTTAAAAAGTGTGTTAATAAATCCGAAATCGTGTATGTTAAATGACGATTGACAACTAATAACAATCACCACTGCTTATATTATATAGTTTTCTCATCCAAATCGATGTGCCACACCATTTTTTTTTCGTCGGCGATTCGAGCGCGAAAAACCCGCGACAAGCGCAAAAATGATGTGACGCCTCGATTCATGTGAGAATTTGACAAAAAATACAACTGAGTATTTATTTTTACAATTAAGATAATGTTCTAAAAATAAAATGTATAGCCCAGATTTTGAAGATAGAAAAAAATTACAAAAAAATCTTCATAGTGACATCACACTGAGTGCGCATATACTACTTACCTCATTCATTTCAGAAACATCCTGTGTAGTAATTGCATTTTAGTTTTAGTAATATATACTACAAATAGTAATTAACGAATATTTTATAAAACATAGGTATTAATGTATTATAATATATATGTATATTTCACTTGTGTATTGCGGTAACACTTGTAGATTGCTTTTTCAACACAAAATTAACATGTAATAGAACTTTCTTGTGAAATTATTTCCGACTTAACTCCAAATCTAATTTAGATATTTTATGGCATCGTAAAGCTACATTTTGAAACAAAAAATATTTCAAAAAAGTTAACACTAACTCGAAGAGCGACATAAAATAGTTTTAAAAGTGACGTTTCTATTCCATCGAATTCAAAGTAAAAGGATTTTATTTTGTCTATAAAAACAGGGTTTATCTTTTCACGTGCACGATCAATGCGCTGAAATCTTAAATTTTTTTTCACTTAAGTATTGCCGTACCACCTGTAGATTGGTATTTCAACATAAATATAACTTGTTATTGAATTTTCCAATATAAATATTTCCAAGTGTCGGACGTTATCTGTGTTTGTGTGTGGGATTTATTTTTATTTTTACAATAGTTTATATTTACTAGGTCACCAGTAAAGAAAAATATATAAAACTGATATTTTATATCAATATCTACGTTCAATTTTAATCCGGTTAACGAAGTATCTTGTTTAATATTATGAATATCAAAATGTTCTTGTATTTTTCTGTTTAATATTAATTTGTCACCGATATACCATACCAGAGATACACAAAGTTCTATATTTTTATAGTTACCTACTGGCTACTACCGACTACCCACTATCATGCAACAATATAGTCGTAGGTTGAATTGGAGACCCTAACGATTACCATAAAAATGATAGAAATGTATGCATTACAGTGTAGTAAAAATAAATTAAAATATTATTGTTAGGTATAGTATAAAAGTTTGTAATCATGAACTTCTCAGCAATAGTAAAACATTAAAATTTTATCAAATTATTGTAAGCTGGTAACGTTATATTTTTTATGTTATTGGAACTATCGCAGTTGAGTAAATAATTGAAGTATACTACGACTTTTGACACATGTGACACGGCAACCAGCAAATACTAGATTAATTTTCCTAACGGAAATGATACTAAAGTTGAAAATCAAAACATTTTATTTACTATAAAGTCTTTATAACATTGTGAAATCGACACAATCGGAACGTTCAGAAACTAAAAACTTATGTTTTAATTTGGCACAACTAAACATGCTGTGCATTTGTGCCTTTTACCCTCCCCCACCCTTAGCGAGCTTACAAAAACAAATATCGTAGAAGGCTGTTTAGTTTACACAACTGCGTACTTGTTCTTTAGCATGACAAAACATATCGTTACCAGCTTGAAACAAGTTGATAACATTTAGTATCTTACTACCTATTGTTCTTACACAAACGATCACGACATTTTCTAATAGAATAATGATTTCAATTTATGGTTTATACATTTTTATGATAATCGTTGAGGTGTCCAATTCAATCCGCCTAAATTATTCTGTGATTAAAGGTAACTAATTTTATTTTATATATTCAATATTTTATTCTTAAAAGTAATTTTAAAAATGAATATCTAATAAAATTATTTTGAAAACGTCATCAAGTGGAAAAAATCGTAAAATAAACCTTTTGTGCAAATTTCAAGTATCTACAGTTATTAGTTTTTTAGTTACAACAAAATAAGAAAATCGTTCCATGAGAAATCAAGTAAATAGATATTTATGTTGTAAAAATTTGATCTTCAAACGCGCATAAAAATGTTATTTGACTTTCCGAAAGATATTTTTTTTTGATAAAGGTAGACAGACCTATAAGGAATCATGTAACTAATTTATAAATCTTAGATATAAAACATATTTTTTAGGAATTTCTAACTAAATATAATTTACTAATTTTCGTGATTTATATTAATTTTGTCAAAATTCTAAGTTTAAAGGCTCGTATAAAAAATTATTGTGGATTTACGCTCAACATTTCCTTTAATTTCATTAACAATAACTTACAAGAAACCTTGTATTACTTTTACAAGTTTTTTGACTAAGAAAAAATTTTTTTATCGACTTTAGTTTGAAAAAAATAAATAATACTCGAAAATTTCATGTGCCGATAAATAGTTCGACACAAATCAAAATGTTATGGTGTATAGAAAATGCTTACACTAATTTTTGTTAGAGTTACACTAAAAACCAAAGTCGAATTAGATTCACTTTCCTACCAGAAAAGTTGCTGTTAAGAAACTCTTTTACTGTTCGAAACCGTGATGACGGACACAAAAAAAAAATAATAAATACATACATATAAACACACACATCATTGTAAAATTAATATGTTAATCGCTCCACTCAGAATCTAAAATCAAAATTGAATTAAAAAATATCAGTTTAATGAAAACAGGACAAGTCGAATAAAAAAAATTGTATTTTATAAAAATATTATTTCAATAAAATAATCAAAGTTGTGTTGAAAAATTACCCTCCAGAAAGAGCTAGATGCTCTTGTTTTGTGGTTCAATTCTATGGGACTAAGCTTCAATGTAGGTAAATGCCAATCTATGTCTTTTGCCCGTAGTAGAAATGTTATTCACTACACGTAGGTACTTGATAAGCGGGTCAAGCATTAATATTGTTACTATGAAGAAAGACTTGGGTATTTTTTTATATCCAAATCTCGATTTTCATTATCATATTGAGGCTGTTTGCAGTCGTGCATTCAAGATGCTCGGCTTTGCCATACGCACTTCTAAAGAATTTAGGCTCTCTAGTTCTCTCAAAGCTTTATATTGCTCCCTTGTACGACCTCTTTTAGAATACTTTTCCATTCTGTGGGACCCTTTTACGGCAGCAGACTCTTCTTGCATTGAGAGGGTCGAGAGGCGTTTTTGTTCTTTGGCGTCATTTATTTTGCAAATTCCACAACCACCACATAATTATTGGCCAGTGATGAATAAACTTGGACTCTTGTCCCTGGCAGGTAGAAGAGTTGATGCTAACTTGGTATTTTTGCATAAGCTGATTGACGGACGTGTGGATGCTCCCTCTCTCCTTTCGTAAGATGCGCTTTAGTAACGAGCACCTATGCTTCTCTTAGAAAGTTTTATTCTATTTTTTTTTTTTAGTACTTAATCTGTTATTACTTATTACTGTTTTTACCTTTGTTCAATTTTTTGTTTTATTTTTATTTGTTTATAATCGCCGTATTATTTGGCGTTTACCTATTTATTGTTATTTATTCATATTCATTACTACTAATTGTGTTGTACTATTGGGCTCATAGCCCGTTCATACATATAAATACATATAAATAAGTAAATAAATATTCATATTAATTCTATAACATTTTAATTTGTATAAATAAACCATATTTAATAAAAAAAGCGTAGTTGAATAAAAAATCTAAATTGGATAAAACTTCAAAATGATTGCATTTCCCTATAAGTCCCCCGCCAAAACTTTGGTTTTTTAAGAAAATATGAATGCCTACAAATCAAAAAAAAAAGATTTAACAAAAGTAAAAACCAGGTATAAACAGGCTACAAAAAAATTGCAAAAAAAAAAATTGTATTTCCGTCGGATGTTGTAACTTTAACTATTTATGTATTATTGTACTATTATTATTATGTTTAGGATAAAACCTTAAATTTATATTCAAGTTGAAGCACGTCTAATGGGAGGCCTCTTCCCTCTGTCTCTTCTGCCTGTTTTTGTTCTATGACATTACTTAAGCTTATTGTTAAGGGGGGACATTAGGTTTAGTTGCAATAACTATGTTCCAAGTAAAATTTTCAGAGTTGTGTGCATTTTTTTTTGGCGATTTTGTTGTTTTTAGTTCTTTTTGAATATATGGCATAGCAAAAAATATCTGTAACAAGTATTAATAATCTAAAAAAAGTATTTTATTAATACCAATATTATGATTGGTAAATATAGTTTGTGTTTGAAATTTTTTTTTCTAAATACAGACGTCAGATCGAAGCCTTATTTAATTAATCGAATGGCAGATGATTCTTATAATTGTTATCGGTCAAATTATGATTATAGTAAGTATTTCCAAGTTAGCATTTCTATACGTACGTTTCCCCAGCCCCCCACATATCAATTTTCCCAAATTTTTTTTACTAAATGTTGGGAAAAAAAAATTTGGGAAAATTGATATGTGGGGGGCTGGGGAAACGTACGTCATTTCTATACGTAAATACAATTTTTATAGCTTGTTCATGTAAATATATAATCTATTAACATTATTTTTAGATGTTTTCCTCAGCATAATATATTTTATTACATAATTTCCTTTAACTGAGATAATTTTTGAGGATAAGAAAATAACCAAAAAAAAAAAAATGGTAAATATAAGGGCAATTGAATTTCAAATTTTTATAAATTTTACGAACTATCACTTTTGTTCTAAATTTCTAAAGTATAATAATAAATCTTTTATAAAGATAAACCAAGTACTTTAGGTAAAAACTTAGACGTTAGTTGTGTTTATGAAACTTGTTAGTTCAAATTTTTTTTGGAAAACATTATTTTAAATATTAAAAGTTACAAATGAAGTATAAACTCAGGTGAAAAAAAAAGAATTTAAAAATAGTTCAATTGTGTTAAAAAATATTTCATACAACTGCTTTGTAAATGGTAGAAAATAAAATCATTAAAACCAAATAATAATATTTGATGTTTTTTATGTAACATTCATTCGTTAATTATTATCCTAGTACTATAATATATTAATATATATAGTATTTATTATTGTTAATAAATTAATATATATATACTTTTTAATAAATTGAAATTGAAATATAATATTCTACTAACGAAGGTACATAAGTTTATAATAAGCTATCGTATTTTTATATCTGTGTAAAAATTATTTTTCATTTTTTTTTTACACTTATATTTTAAACGATTTGATAATAATTAAATCTGCTAATACACACTTTTCAAACTAACCATCGTGCATTATACAACAAAATATTATAATTTCAGTCGGTGTACAGATGTTGGATCCACTGGACTATTTTTTGTCAATTTACAGTAAGTTATTTTCTGTAGTAAGTTAAATTTTCATTTCCCAGTATATTTCATGCACAATGAAATGTAAGACACATAAATTATGTTTTTAAAAAATAATATACATTGCAAAAATGTCATATATAATATTATTTTATCATAATATATAATGACTATACACACGAGCCACGTTGTGGAAGTAAGTTAAGTCCAACATATCTTTTTTGCAACACAATTTTATACAAATATAGACAAGTAGTACACATTTTTGTTTTTTTGTTCGGTGATTTATTTTATAACCACTTTCTATTATATACGTATACATTTTTATCTTAAGACATAAAAAAGTTTTACTTATATATACTAGTACTTGAGAATTAATGTATTAATGTTAATTCCTTATTATTATAAGCAGTATTTTTTATACCATTATATAAATAAATTTAAACTATCTAGTAATAGTGTCATGTATTTATACATAATAATTTATATTAATATCAATATAAAATTGTAATTAATTCCTTTTAAATTTATTAGATTTAGGATTGATATGGCCTAATTTAAACAAGAAATAAAATAATTTTTTAGTGTCGAAACAGTACAATTATTTATGAGATTAAATAGAATTGCATTACTGTAAAACTAAAAACCATTGTTTTTTTTTTTTAAACCGATTAAAATCAATAATATTTGTATATAATTAAAAGGGAAATGTGTTATTTTGGACAAAATAAGTGGAGGGATGTCATCCCCAGTGTCCCTCCTCCTACAGTGATCACCGAGTATATTTTACAGGAACAATGATAATTCGTATTGGTTCATGGTTGGGTGTAGTTTAGTTTTGAAAATGATAAAAAAATAGTTTTAAAAAAAATAGGTACCTACTACAAATGGAAAATGTATTATAATTTTAATAATAAATATTGAAAAAAATCGGATACATATAATTTTATTTGAATTAATAAAATTTAAAGGTAAAAATAATAACTCCACATTAGGATAATAGGATATAAGTACAAAGATTTTTGACAAATGTGTATTATGCATACATCAGTAGATCTTTAATCCTTTAATGTAAACAATATTTTATTAATTAATTATTATGCCAGTTGATCGCAACGTTAATAGTACAATATTATTAATGGCAATAGAAATCATATTAAAATAATCATAATTTGTATTTATGTCAGATCAACTAATATTATAACTTCAAATTTTATTTTGATTATTGATCTTATAAACCCGACAACTACGGCCATTAGTTACAATTTAAATTGGGTTACAGTAATAACAGTTTTTACAATTTTTTTTTTTTTTGTGTCTATAGAGTACAAATTTATTTATCTTAACTATTTTTTTATTGTTTTATTCCAACAGATCCATATTATTATTGTGAGTTTTGGATTTTAATAACAATTATCTGCTTTAAAGTGTGCGTATTATTAAGTAGACGTAAGCCATATTAATATATTATTCTGAACAAAATAGGTAGTTTACATGTTGACGAACATCCTCCACATACCAAAAAAAAAATTTAGAAGCCCAGCTACTATTTTCAACAAATTGAGACAATATGAGGATATTGTGGCATAATATCCATCAGATATAAATACCGACTAATTAACCATCGCGGAGCTATGAATACAACCATACTACCATAGATGATAAAATAAGTTGATATTATTATGTGAACAAAGACCAAAATATTATATCTGATGATATTTTGAAAAACTCAAGCATATTATGAATGCCTGTTTTATAAGAGTTTGTTCACCATCCAATAAATTAAGCTTATAAATGATCGGGGCCAACCTCTGGAGTTCTTTGACATTACATAATGATAATATATCACTCGTAGGGGAAGACAATTTATACTTTTAGAAAACCATAGTTAGGTTAGGTATTTTATTATTATGTATAGAATTTTTTAATTTTTTAACTAGATTATAATTATTATAATATTTATAAATATTATATTTGACATTTAAAAATGATTTATATTTCTAACCTACCAACCGACCAACCTTCGATAAAGAACAAACACCATCAAGATAAACATAGAAATAGCCTTGTGATTTTTATGCCATTATGCCGAAATATATATTTGTATCTTAAAATAAAACACTGATATTAAAGATCACTAAATATATAATATGTATGTGTCAGTAATCAACTAAATTAATTATAATTCTATATATTTCGATTCATCTATGCAACTGATGAACAGTGGGCTTTTTATCTAATGTAAACGAATATTAAATGTATAATGAACTTGTTTTTATTTTTATCAAAGAAAAGAAAAAGCCTCGATAGCGTGGAAATTGGCTTGTTTTTTACATGATAACATGTTCTTAAATAATTTAAATTACATTGTACAGTTGAATGTCTTTCAAAAATAAAATTATATTTTTGATGGATTCTTCGTCGGGGCCCAGTGCGTCGTGAAGATGTTCTGGTATATTGTGTTTTTGTCAGGCCTCTTTCGTGCCTTTACATTCAGTAAGGATATGATATTGATTGAAATTGTACATCCTCACGTAAGGCATGTTTTTTTTCATTAGGTGGCCATGTGTGTGGTGTGTATGACCTATTCGGGGGCGATTTAATACTACTTCGTCTCTTCTTTTGAGAGACATTGGGCTATTCCATTTTTCTGTTGTTCTTTTTATTTCTTTTAATTTAGTGTTCATTTTTAGCCATTCGTTTTGCCATTTATTTTTTATTCGGTTGTAGATAATTTTTTTTATATCTTTGTCAGATTTTATATTCCATAGGGTTAGTTGATGTGGGTTATTGGCTTTTTTCTTAGCAAGTATGTCTGCTCTTTCATTACGAGTTATTCCGCAGTGCCCGGGAATTCATGAGAAAATTAAGTCATTGTTAAATGTATTAATCAAGTTGATAATTTTATTAATTATAACATATTATCGTTATTTATATAACTAAGATTAGATAAAGTGCTCACGGAGTCTGTTAAAATTATGTACTTATTATTTTGCAAGTTGGCACTTATTATATAAGATAGGGCTTTATTGTTATAGCTAGTGTATCGACTGTAAATATGCTACAATTATCCGACAACCTCTCAGAAAGCTCGGTTTGTTGAAGAACTGCAGCAACACCCACACTTTTGTCTGTTTTTGAGGCGTCTGTATATATATATGTATGTGGTCCGGTAATGTGTTTATTACTTCATAGAATACATTTTTGTATGAATGATTTGGGGTTTCTTTTTTGTTGTGAAACGCTATCGACATATCAAATGAGTATTTTGTCGTTGTCCATGGAGGTTTTACGAATATTTCTCTAATCAATATATTATTTATTTCTAATTTCAGTTCCCTCTTTTTCTTTAATTCTTTCGTACATAGGTTGTATTAATGTTTTGTTTTAAACGTATTTTCGAATCGGTGATTGAAAACTGTGGAATAAGTTGGTTTGTTCGGGTCAGTTGCTGTTGTCTTTGCGTATTTTAACATTAATTGTTTTTTTCGACTGGAACCCGTAATCCAAATTTGATCTGATCAGTGATTTGTAAATGTTTATCAGGCTTTTAGAGTCTGCTCCCCATTTCGTACTTGAAAGTACTGTAATAATGTTCAGTCTTTTTTTGGCTTTATCTTTTAATTTTTTTATGTGTGCGGTCCTTGTGAGTTTTTTGTCGAAGGTAAGACCTAATATTTTTAAGAAATTATTTTGTTGTCCATTTTTATAGTTGGTTTTTTTTAAAATTCTTTTGTGTGAAAATATTATGAACTGGGATTTCTCTGGTGAAAATTTGAACCCTGTATTTTTTTGCTCCAATCGTTTAACGAGTTGGTGTATTTCTGTAATTCTTTTCCTTAAGTGTCAATACATTTGTATCGAAAAAAATATTGCTGTCACCCGCATATATTGTAATTTTTCCAGGGGCTGGTATAAGTGTAGATCAGTCATTTATTGCGATTAGATTAGAAATAATTTTACACTTATGGAGGAACCTTGGACAACTCCATTTTTGAGGTTATATAAGGACGAATGTTGTCCATCGACAAATAAACTTGTATTTAAAACAATTGTTTATAATATGTACTCATATAAGAAAAATAAATACAATTTTTTTAGTTATACCAAGCAAAAAGCCTGAACAATCAGTTTTAAATTCGTATTTAATAATTAATCAGGGTAAGATTTTATTTTTAGACCATTTTATTTTAAATAAAGTGTATAGTATTTTTTGTTTAAGTGCTTTGTTTATTTTACTTATCAACAAGATCGATCGTAATACCTAGATCTTGGAGGAGAGTTAAATTAGAGACGTAAAAGGGAGCGTTAGTGATTTTTCTAAGGGTGATATTCTGAAAGACTTGAATTTTGTTTCTATTTGTTTTTTTGCCGATCTTCAGAGTTGTAACCCGTATGTCCATATTGGCTTTAGGAGAGTTTTATATACAAGTAGTTTTGTTTTTAAGCTAGTAAATTTATTTTTTGATAATATTGTTTTTAGCCATCTAGATCGAGCGTTAAGGATCAATCTTTTAGCTTTTATATGTTTGTTCCAAGTTAATTTTTGGTCAAGAATTAATCCTGCTTATTTTTTAAAACAATATTTGGTTTATCGAAACATATACAAATGTTTTTGTGAAACACAATTAGGTATAAGGGTAGGTATTAACCAATATGAGTTTTTATAAATTAATATTTCGCATTAAATTTCTTCTATTGTTTTCGTTTTTGAAAGGGGGGGGTCAGGTTTGTTAAAGATCGTTTAAGGGAAAGTGGCCCATTTTCTTCATGGTACACTCCATGCCAAAGTCCTATGATTGTTGTTGACAATGAGTTACGGAAGTTTTCAAAATTATTTATATTATGTATATGAAATATGAATAGGTGGTATATTTTGATTAATCTCGGTCAGTTGCTGGGCTTCGTATGGTTACTTCGAGCCTTTGAAGTAAGTCGGATAAGACAATTGTTGAGTTCCGGAGGACCCGACCTATCTTCTAGTTGGCATTTGGTTTGCTTTATTAGACGGCATAATATGTGACACAGGCAGAGATGACGGGTATAACCTTCCTCAACGGCAGCTAGTACATTATCGTACTGTTATTGACAATAAATAAATAATGCCGTCATGCCGATGTCAATGAACTATGTACAAACAAAGAGCAAAAAACACGAGAAACATAAATAATGTGAGATTTGGTATTCTTGATAGTATAATGATTTTCAAATTTATTATCATGTCTTATACATAAGACACTCATATACATACACTTATCATAAAAGAAAACTTTGGCAATTGCATAAGTTATTTAATAGGACAAGTAATGTAGAAGAGATCAGGTTCTCCAAATTTATTTTTTTTTTTTTTAGTAAAAAGGATTTTGAAAAATTGAGGACAATATTATTTTGAAGTAACAGTGATAACACCAGTTCAAATACACCTTTATGAAATTATAACTTAAGATTCTACAAACTTGCGTCATTGTATATCTGGAGAAATTTAATTGATTTTGATCTTTCTTTTATACCTAATAAGCTCCATATTATATTGGTTTATATAAAGTGATATTTGTTTATTTGTTATTATCTACATATTAGTTGTAACCCTATTAAAAAACATACACTTAAATATTAAAGTAAATATGTAATTTCTAATGTATTATAGTATAGATAATAGAACCAGTTTAATGATTAACCTACCTAAAACTTTTATGTTGTGGTATCTGGCAATTCTATTCAGTAATTTTAGTTTATTCATTATATTCAGGACATGTCTTCTACCAGGAGAAGTTGAAGAACTTGCCGTGTTCACTAAACGTCCCTTGCACTGGTAAAGTGTTTTGCATTATTATTTACTGTTTTATATGATTAATTTAGTAGAATTAAAATAAATTAATATTTTCAGAACTACGGTATATTGGAATTGATCCTGAAAATTGGGATAAGAGACTGCAATTCGTTGGTAAATATACTATGTTTATTATATAAAAATCTAAAATCACATTGTCTAATTAATATATTATATAATTAAGGTTATTTATTTTATATCAATATTAATTCAATATTTTACTTAACCTGTGATTATTAGGCACTAATTTAAAGCTTATGGAAATATTTAGTCTATCCAATTTAATAAGTGAGCTATTTAATAGTTAACTAAATAATACCAATGTAATGTAATTTTAAAGCAATAATAAAAAACATTTATAATAATAATTTAACTAACTTATGTTTTACATTATTATCAGCAACATTTGAAAGCAGAATAATTTCGAGTTAAACAGTATTAATATAACATTAATTCTCATTGATAAAATCTTATTGTACACATTTGCAAATAGGTAATTTCAAAAAAAAATTCTCAACAACCAATGAGGACTTCGTAGGGAGAAGAGATAATATCACAAATATTAACGCTTTAAGATTACACTATTAATTTAATAGTATTAAATATTAATATCAAATTATAAAATTGAAATCAAAAATATAAATTAACGTCAAAAATAATCTGTGGAGTGTACAATTTAATAAAAATATTTTTAAAAAAAATATACAAAATAATTTAAAGGATACCGAAATTGATCTTTCTACAGGTGCTTATAACAAAAATTTTAAACCCAATAGTATGTATCGACCATCGTAATTTAATCTATTTGATATTTTATTTCTTTAAATGGACAATAATTCCATTATAATGTGTTTATAGTTCTATTTGTACATTCCATTGCTTAAAATGCATGGAGCGAGCCTCTTTGTACTAGTTGGTAAAAATGTACATTGAAGAACGCAGACACTTAGCACTATATTAAAATTGTATGTATACTTATCTATAAAGTGCACATAATATTTTAAAAAATGATCGAGAAATTATATTAAAAATGTCTATAAAGTTAAATGAGATTCAAACATAATGTCATATTTGTGTATATTATGTATATACGCCTATCAATCAGGAGTGGAGTAGCCCATCTGGAAATCTGGAATTTTTCGGATGGGCCGGAACGCGACGACAATAAAAAATAAAAATTATTTTTAAATAACAGTGTAAGACGTATAATCAGTACTCAATTATTCAAAATTTTAAATAATATCTATTTAATGACCATTATTACAAAAAAAATATCTTGTTATAATCTTTGTAGTAGAATAAACATTAAAAAGAAAAGAAAGGGGGTAAGAAATATATGGAGAGGGTAGTTGGGTGCCAATATGTGGTAGAATATAATTAAGGTGACAAAATATAAAGGGGGAAAGATAGTAAATAAAAGGTGGGTAGATTTCACAATGTGGATGTGCTTATGTAATTCTTACTCTACTACTAAATAATGTTGTGACCTTACAGAATATCTATAAATACGTCTTGACCAGAGTAGTTATATAATTGACGTCACTTGCCTTACCTTGTCAGTAGCAAGATGATGTTCTTTGTTGTGGATATTCTTAAGAGCTTGTATGGTTGATCGTGGTTCGATCGCAATATTTTTGCAAACTCTAATTACTTACATATTAATCACTTCCACGACTGAACGTATTTGGTGCTAAACTGCTATGTACCCTGAGTCTCAGTAATTTATATTGATGTTAAATGAATACACCTCAGCTTCTGGATAACGGATTTTTGAAAAAAGGATAATACACTAATAAAATACTTTTATTCGGCTGTTAGCCCTTCTCGCTGATTTTAATGGAATATGATATACTAATGCATCCATGATATGAGTGCTTCAAGAGCGGACCGCGAATGTTCCTAATCGGAACAGCCGGACATAACTCCACACTAGTATATTGTGGATGTATTTTATATATCGGGATGATTGTATAAGGCGCAACTAGAGGCCAAACACCGAGGGTGCTAAAATTATGCAGAGGACACAGGCCCGTGGGGGCAAGCCCCCACACCCCCAAACACCTACCATACAACAATTTTATAATTATTATAACCAATCCAATCCGCACTACAAAACCATAAGCAAACTAATATTTAAGTATAAAAAGCGATAATATACCTTATAAATACATTAGTTATAATATATAATTTGTTCAAGTGATAAAAATAATAATAAAGTTTAAATGGAATAAATACATATTTATTACACATAATAATATTATTTTATACTAATAATAATTTTCTATTCTTAATAAAATACTTTTCTAGTATTTCTGAAGAACTAATTTTGTTAACAATGTCTCTTTCGATGTTTAAAATTGATAAATTTGTGAACCGCTGTTGTTCCATACTTGCTCTTAGCCAGTTTTTTAAACGACGCATTGACGAGAAGCTTCTCTCACACGTAGCAGAACTCACCGGAATTGTAAGAGCCACTTGTAACAATTTAAATACATTTGGAAATGTGGCCTTCTTACAAATATCTTTAATAGTATCTATATTATGATTATAACTAGAAGGTGGACAGTTCTTTAAAATAAGCATTTCCGCTATTAACGAATCCAAGTTGATACACATAACATCTTTAAATACAAATTTATTAATATATCATTATAATTACACACATAAATCACTTGAATTGTGATATAACACACTTTATAATCATTTATGAAGTATTGACTCTTTTCATAGTCCATTTCCACAAAATAATCAGTTGAACTAGCTTTTATAGCTTTTTTATTACTTTCTTCGGAAAATCTGAACTTTAAGTTATTTATATTAGTGTCAATTATAGGAAAGTAATAAAAGTAATAAACGAAATATTGTATTACAACCATACACGTGGGTTTAGAATAATTCTATTATCTAAACTTTAGATAATGACAACTATTATAGATAGCGTATTGCGTGTATACTAAATATTTCTAATAAACAAATACCAAATGCGCAGGCCGCAGAGCGGGGTAAAAACCGAACAATAACATTAGGCTGATCGAATTAACTACAAAGTGACAATACTCTATAAATAAACTACTGAGTTTATCAATTTATCACTTCTCTGTTACCTACCTAAAACCCTCATATCTTTAAATGGCATTAAAATTACGGCTGATTGAAGAATTTATTACCCATCTATGATTGCAACGATATAAATATATAATAATTATATTCTTAATTCTACAATAATTGTATATTTTGCATAGGTACCTAATATATGATATAACTATAATTATCAAAACCAATTTGTGTTTGTATTAATAAACGTCAAATACAAAAAAAAACATTCTTTCATGATTTTTAAATTGTTGGTGGTTTTGGTGTGGGGGTGCTAAATAAAAAGCTGGGGGTGCTTCAATAATCCAAATTATTTTCTAAATTACTCTTATAACTTATAAGTTATATACATTTAAGTACACTAATTTATAAGATTTGTATAAATATGTTTTATATGTGAATATTAAAATGAAAAATGTAATTGTTAATTTTATGAGTTATTTGATAGATCAAAGTAAACAATTTTTTTTCGAGTTTAAGTCTGTATGTTAGCCCTTAACACAATAAGTCAACGAGCTAATGGGTCGGAAAAATATGTTTTCCAGACCCGAAATGTAGTCTTACTCCACCCCTGCTATCAAATATCTAGTTAAGACAAATAATATAAAAAATGTATTTATTTTATACTTTAGAAGACAAAATCAATAATCTTACTCGAGAGAAACCATTCGGTAAACCATTTTGTGATTATTAATAAATGTGTTAACTGTTGTACTTCAAGAAATAGTAAATTCATTTAAATTTTTAAAAGGGCCGTTGGACCAATACCCAAGTAATTAAATTAAATATTTAATTTTAACCTTTAGGCAGCAATACTAATGATCGACATCAACTTCATATTGCTTCCAACATTCTGTGTAGAGTTCGTAATAAATCAACAATATTTTTGCTGGTGATACCGTAAAAAGTGTCTTAATAAATAATAAACTTATCCTTTAATTGTAAGGTTTTTTTTTTTAATAAAAATGTGTGTGTTTAATAGTTTTTTTTATTGAATGACCAGTTATCGTATTAATTTGTCGTATGGTTAACTTATCAAAGTATCTAATAAATGATCAAATCAACATTTTTAATATATAGGTACAAGTATACCTAATATTATAATATTTAGTGTGATTATTATTTTAGAAACCTACTACACTACTATTTGAAGGAAAAATTGTAATTTCCATATTTTGAGCTTTTTGCTTATTATATCATACTCTAGACGCATTATCTAGATTTTTAGGGCACTTATATTTTAGTTTTCGAGTGCACTGTGAAAAACTGTGAATTCAATTTTAAATCAATAAATTTATTCAACAACACATTTGTCTTATTGAAATAAATAGCTAAAACCTATAAATATTCTATTCTGTCGTTATTTTGATTTCCACTCTCCCCTAGAAGCAGTGTGATGTAGATCGTTTAAGACCTTATAATTTTTGTAATTTAACATATATGAGATTTAAACTGTCATCCTTGCTCAAACAGTTAATTTCATCTCTATTGTTCGGTCCAGAGACTTGTCTCTAATAGATAGATTGAGGTATGTTTTTCAAATTACCAGAACGTAGGTTTATCCATTGTATATGATCTAAGCCAGAGCTCACCAATTAATACTTTCCGTGGGCGGCCACATTAAGAATTCGGAAAATTCTCGAGGGCCATAAAAATGCAAAGTATGTTACATAATATTTATTATAATAGGCCGATTAATCTAATCAGTTTAATTACGCGCTAATGATTATTTGAAATATGGGAGTCCATTACGCCGCACCCTGTACAAAGATAAGAAATTATTTATTCTTTTCTCCTTATCTGCGAGCCGGTTACAATTCATCCACGGGCCGGATGTGGCCCGCGGGCCGCCATTTGGTGATCCCTGATCTAAACTGACCAGCGCCCAAAGAGTTTATAGCTGTTTCTGCAGTCTGTACATAAATCGGATGTTTTTCTCCCTCTACACGAACAGTTGTTATTCGGTTGCATCATCGAGTGGAATGGAGATGCAGGGTGGTGACTAGTTTTGCAGGCGGTTTTCTCGTAGGTCAGAGTATAGATTCCTCGTGAGACATAAATGCAAAATGAATTGGTATTTACGATTTATTAATTTCTACAATAAATTAATATAAGTATCTTACCATAACATTGTGTAGCTTATTATGATAGACTTTCACCTATCGTTTTATTTCTCTAGGCTAGACTGTGTATTTTTTTTATAGTGAGTTATACTGCTAACACTTAAAAATCATTGTACTATTTTTATTTTTATGTGCAGGGCTGACTGTGGATGAATTAGTAACAGAGGACCAAGGTACTAATTTTGTACATTTTATTAATATTTAAGAATTATTGTTTTTAAGTATTACAACATCTAGTAGGTGCAGTATAGAATATAAATTACTTTTATTAATCACTACCTATACCATAATATTGAGATAAAGTTAGGGTTGGATGGATGTGTTATAACTAGGGCTCGGATTTTATAGCAAAATAAATGCTTCTTTTTATATATTTAAGATAGAAATCTAATTTGTATACATAAATTCGTTTCACGTCATTCTGATTATTTGATTCAAAATAAATAAACGTATTTTTGCTTTTTTTTGTGTAAATGCTTTTTTGCTTTTTAATTACTTTTTTCAGTTATTCTATTCAAGGCTCTAGCTGTGGAATAATAATATGTTTGTTATGCTATAGTCATAAAAAAATGTTATTTATTTAATTAATAAGAACTGTGAAAACCCTCAATAATAATTTATGATATAAATATAAATATTGGAGATATTGCAACTGCAATTTCGGGTAAACTAAATCGTGTTCTTTTGAAAAACAAAGACTGGAAACAATTGCTGGACATTAACACTATCCTGTGTGGCGTTTCATCAAACGAAATTAAATATCATGGGTTTGATTTAAACGAAACCTCTTGCATGAAGTATGCACCGATCACTCCAGTAGATGTAGAGCGTTCGATGTATAAAAACATCCTGTCAGACAATAGAATCAGTTTCACTACTAAAAATCTTGCCAAATACACGGTAGTAAATTCCTATTAAAAATTTTCATTTTAATTTTTTATTCAATTTTATAAAATTATAACTAATTCATGTTAATTTTTAATTATGCTTTTTTTGCTTTAAAAAAAATGAATATACTTCATTTTTGCTTTTTTAAAACAATTTTGTGGTTTTTTTGTTATTTATTGTACTTTAAAATCCGAGCCCCGGTTATAAGTATAACTAATAATTAATTAATGCACCTCTGTTTTCATCAACATTGGGCATTGAAGGCACTACAGTCTGTGCTACGAAAACTAGAGGCTGGTTGTCGCTGCAGTACCCGGAACCTCATCCGCCGAGTAGATTGTGGTTCTCTTCTATGCGACTACCAAGGAACTTAATAATTAGAGACTAAATATTAATCGGAACACTATCAGTTATACTTTAACAGTGTTAGCAATTTAGTCTTTCCAGAACATTTTAAATTTTTGTTATTCGAAGTATTATCGAAGAATATGTTTATAAGATGATATGCAGTCACAGGACAATATAGAAGCGACACTTGATCAGATGATAGGGCCACTTATCCTTAAGTTATAAAGTATTAGACTCTAAAAGTTGAAATCGTGTCCATATGTTTGGTATTTTCAGTTTCTGTATTGTAGATATATATTGTTATTTTATGTTTTTAAAATTATTTATAATATTGATATGAAATATTGAATTGATACCACGCATCCCGTTCAGGACACAGTCACGTGATTTCGCCAACACATGCAATTCCTATACTCTGATACACATTTGAAAAAGCATGGACAATTGTTTGATAACCAATACATCAAATAGTCCGCTTGAAACGAGGCGGTCAGCCGCCAGTGTTCGTGACGCAGACCCTAACCAAGGTGTATTGCTTACATAGACAACCTATAAAGAAATATACTAATAACAGATGCAGAGGTCCAGCAAGGGCAAATATTGTTAGTTATTTTTTCGCGATTTTAACTGGCACTCAGTTATATAGGTCCCATTACATTACACAGGTATTTATTATTGATAATTGGCTATCTCTTTCTAACAATGTTGGCCTTTGGCAACCTATCTCTCTCCCCCCCCCCCCCATTTAAAATAGCTATGTATGACACTGATAATTTGTTTGAATACCCTGGATCTTAAATTATGGTTAGTATATATAATATTGTCGGTTTCGCGTCAAAAACCTTAAAGTAATTTATATCAAAGTGTACAAAAGATGCAGAAAACTGCGGCAGGCTAAAATATTTTTACTTTTATTTAAGTTTGTTGATCGAGGTTTTATATTTTGTATTTTATTATATGAAATAACTGCCAAATATTAGTTATCATGATATCAAAATGTGAAAAAAAATGAAGTGTATTCATTTAAAAAAAAAAGAACATTTTTCCACTTACGAGATTTTTAAACAAAGCCGACAATACATATTTTTTTTTTTTTTTGAATAAACCATTTATTACATTTTATAATCACAATCATACAATTACAATGGTTTATCTACTTCCTGTAAGCAAAGCTTGTGTTGGAAGTAGAGAGTTATGAATTATGAATTTATTGTTGTAATGATAATTAATATTATTTATCTATATAATATACTAATGAAAACAGATTTAAAAAAGTACAAATAAAGAGAAAAAAAAAAATAAGAAAAGAAAAATATTAAATATAAGTACAGCATTTTTAAAAAAACTTAATACACAGATCATATATACTATGTACATAGAGTATCTAAAATAATATACAAAGTTTACAAGTATTTTAAAGCTCATGTAACAAAGTTTCACTTATATATCTATTTACATTAAATTTAGTATTTGTTCTTAAGTATTTTTTTACATTAAAGTTTAAGGTGTTGAATAGTTTTGGTCCCAGATAGTCGATGAATTTTTGGCCTATATTTTTTTTTGGATAATGAATCTTAATATCATAAGCTATGGTTTCACGCTTATTTCTTATATCATTCGGCGGAGAATATTTTTTTAGAGTATGACATATAGCAAATTTTTTGTACAAGAGAGTTAACGGTAAAACATTAAGTTCTACATAATTGTTCTTAGTGGATCCGGATTTATTTTTTTTGTTAAGACATGTACGAACTGCATTATTTTGTTGTGTATATAGTGGATTAAGTATACTATCTGTAGTACCACCCCATACAATTATATAGGTTGATACATTATACAATCAAGTAATGAATCCTTATAAATAGTATTCAAAATGTTTGTATTTGAATAGAAAGTATAAATACTAATTTTAACATCAACATTATATGAATTGTATTTAAGCTTAATAATTTATGTACTCGTATTAATAATAACACATTGAAAACATTATGTGTGATAATTTTGTTAATTATCTAACTCTTAAATTGTTGACATTAATTATTATTGGAAATGGATGGTTAAAAGTCTAATTACAGTTAGATTGGTACTGTAAATGGTTAAAGCCCATTGTCTATTTTGGGCTCGAATTTGGTGCACTTTTAAACGCTTGGTAGCGGTCTGTTATATTATCTTTTTCCGTGGTTTTAACTATAAATTAAAATAAAAACACACACATATTTCAATAAAGTATTACTTTATCAACAGTTACACCAGTAGAAGACCAAAATTCAAGTAATAAAATTTGGAAATTTATTTATGCCTACTCTAAAAGCAATAAACATAATAAACCGATTTCTACAGTCGAAAATAAAAGAATAGAAGTTTGAAAATTGAGTGGGTTTATTAATAAATAAAAAAATTCTACCATAATAATAGATGTGTTAAAATATTTAAGACAATTAACGAAGGTCGTAGAATCCAATGACTACATGCGTAGACGATGTCAGGTTGCTACAACATAATTTAACTTATAATTATGAATTTATGACTTATAAGCAGCTAAGTAACGGTATTCCAATAACACGATGTTCTGTGTAATGACTAATCCGTGAAGAACTCAAGAACGTGTACCTAATATTTATGAAAAAATATATAATCAAATTGTACCTTTGATAAGAAAAAAATTATATTTCATGCATCATACTATAATACAGTATTGTTCATCTGCTTGATTATTTCATGTTAGTTACTGATTGCAATATGATAACAAAACATAAACACGGTGAAAGGCTAAATATTTTCAACTCTTTAGTAACTCACAGTAACGTGGATTATCGTGGTACAAATTAAACGATTTTATGAATTACTCATTGAATTATACCGTTAGATTTTTCACGGTCTTCGTGGATTACAGATTATTCGAGTTAGTAGAATATGGCTTTTATGCCCCAACTGAACCGGTACAAGAGATGATGGCAAAGAAGCTTTCTATGAAGAACTAAAAAGTACCTATGTGTGATAGAAAACCCACCAATTGTGTTAAAATAGTTGTTTGAAGTATTCTTATTAGTACATTAAAAAAATAATCCTTGATAAATAAATATTCATATTATATTATTTATAAAAGAAATATTTAGGGTAAACCCAAAGAACCTATTTTTGGACGTATTATTATGTTTAAAAACAGTGTATATTGATTCAGGGGGGGGGGGGACGTCCAGTTGAGCAAAAATCCACGAGTGGGAAAGACACGGGGGGCGGGGCACGTATAACGGTGCCGGTGATCATTTTGTAAGATGCGGTGGAATGTCTCAGCTGATATCACGAACTAAGATATACAGGACTGGAAACGACATGATCGATTGGGCGCGGAGGATGGGTTCGCAATAGTCGAGCTAATCGTACACATCGATCTCGAGCGCCATCTATATTACAAAAAAATGTTACCAAATCAACAATTTCATTTTTGATTTAATACTAAAATTAATGTTCAATATTTAAATAAATATCTATTTATATCTATTTTATTTTATTACTATTTTTTCATACGGTATTTTAAAAGTGTATGTACTTATGTAACTTTAATATATTATACATTGTAATTCAAAATGCGTGTAAGTACCAAATGACTAAAAATTAGCTTGGAATACTGCGGTAAATAAGGTAAATAATCAAAAAACACCTTTAAAACATGTTTGCTCAGAACATTTCACTAGTCAAGATTTTATAACATCATACTCTGTACCAAGTGATATCTACAATAATGTGAGTATTGTAGATGGCAAATCAATTTTAAATAGATTAATAGTTAATAAAAATGTTGCAAAAGAGAATGGCAAAAAGAAAAAATGCTCAAAACTTACAGTTTCATAAATAACTAAATATTTAAATAATTGCTTATAATTTACTATCAAATATTGAAAATGTATACTATCATTAAAATTAAAATGTGTAATATATTGACTGGTAGAGTGCGCCAAGAATCGATGTGTATCTTGAGTAAATTGGGTTCCCTGTGATATTTGGTCGTTTCCAGTCCGGTATATCTTAGTTCGTGATATTTATATAGTTGGCATAAATGATTACTTAACAGTTAGCACGTGGTTATGTGTAATACATTTAATTATGAAATGCTTTGTGTATATGAACTATATCTTTGTATATTATAAAATTTTCAGAATGGAAATATAACAGTGTAAATTACTAATGCGTTTTTCAGAGCCACCGGAATTTTACAACTTATCCAAAGATGGAATAGAAATCCTAGATATATGTAAGTCATATTTGCTTGACAATCCTAAATCATGAATTTATAAATTAATTATTTCATTTATAAATCAAACGGTACCTATTGGCCATTGATTTCACATACTGCACTCGATAACAGAATACCTAATTACATTTAAATTAATATGATTATTGTAATAATTTCCAGTAAATGATCGTAAGTAATTTTTACTCACATAGTGTTTGTATCTAATAATTAATGATTTCCATAATCATATTTAAATTGATACCCAATGTTAAAAACATTATTATCATAATTATGATGCAATTGAAAACTTATTAATACACATTTATATGTGTTTCCTTACTTATTTTTAGACTTGCCTCGAAATGAAGAATCAGATGAGGATTATTTGAGGAGACATAAAGAAACAGGTATTTCTATATGATTTTAAGATGTCTGATATATAATACATATAGTTTCACTAAGAAACAATATAATATAACAGTATAATGTGAATCCTTAGAAAGTTATCACTTATCACTCAACCGTCTTATACAAACAAAATATTAAACTTTTCTGGCTAGATAAAACACAACTAACTACAATGAGTTATGCTTAATGTGACCACCTTGGTTCAGGTCATTTCGATTTTATGAACCGGTTGATTATATTCCAGCAAAAACACTTCGTCCAACTCCGTGTAAAAAATTGCTAAGTCAAAAAAAAAATAGTTACTTATAAAACTTAAGCATTATAAAGATGTGATATCATTGATAAATGCTAAGTAAATTAAATTTAAAGTACATTCATTCTATCTCAATAATTTATTTTCTTTGCGAGAATTTATTTTATTTACAAATTAATAATTAAGACCATTTTACAAAGCAAATTTAGTAACATTTGTAAAGGAAACTTGTTAAATAGTCCAGTTATAAACGAACATGTTTATTAGTCGAAATAAATTCTAGCACCCTTCTAGGTTCCTTGGCCTAACCTCTCTAGCTGACAGAAGGGTTGAAGCGAACAAACAATTTCATAGTAAGCTACTAAATGGTGATCGACTCCACGTCCCTCTTAAATTGAAAACCGTGGTTTGTTATTTGCAATTTGCTCATGTACTGCAATCACATACGTCTCTTTTATTTTTCTAATATGATCAATAAAGAAAATTATGAAATAGATGACATCATACCTGTAGTTGTAGACAACGATATTTTTCCAAATTTTTATAATCTTTTGCAAACTGCATTAACTATAGTACTATACCAATATCATCTGCCTCATGTGAACGTTCATTTTCTGTTACGAGGCGAATAAAGAATTGGACTAGAAATACCATGACAAATGATAGATTTACAAACTTGTCAATACTTCATATCGAAAGAGATTTATCACATGCAATAGAATCAGAAAATGTACTTAACATATTTTCAGAAAAACACAGACGCCTAGGCCTAGCTTATGTTTGATTTAATGATTAAATTTTAATTGTTTTATCTTTTTTTTATATTGCAAAATAAAATGCCAGGTTAAGAATAAGGCAAATATAAATTGTTTTTTTTTTTAGAAAATGTTCTTTTTCTTTTTAATTCTAGTAAAACGAGAGGAGTTTTTTGAATTGTATATTTTTCTAGTCCTATATAGCCCCCACATATAATTATGCCAAACTACGCCCATTTGTATGCCCAAAGCATCATTAGATTTGTGGGAAAATGTACTAGGTATGAAATTGAATGAAAATGTTCTCATTTGCCAAAGCATTTCAAGGAAGAGGATATTATTATTACATAAATATATGGTACTGAGTATATTTAGTAGAATATCTTTTGGAAGAATATGGTTTCTCGTATGTGTTAACTGCGGAGTTTAATTAGGACTAATAAATATATTGGTTGTATTATAGCTTGATTATTATAGTCAAATAATAAAATCTATATGACTTACATTATAATATTAAATTACTGCTAAACTTGTACAGTTTGAAAGCAGACTTCCATAAAATGTTTGGAAAATAATATATAATTGTGAAATTAAATTAGTAAAAATAATTACAAAATTTAAAATAGAAAATTTAAAGTTCAGGAGGTAGCGACACGGTAATTTACTTTTCTCTCACAGAGAGCGCTTGCTGTAATTTCCAGCACCATGAAGAACTCGATTTGGTACTCACCTTATCATATGCCGATGGGCAACGTGTATATCTTAAATCGTGGTTACAACTAAAAACGGTCGAGCACGTGTATCTTATTGCTTCAAAAATACTTAACTTTTTCGCTAATATATTCGGTATTATTCAACCAATTTTTTCAAAAATGACAAAGATGTAACATGCATACAATGCCCGATCTATTGATACAACAAGCGAACCAATCTGTCCATTCATTAAGTTTGTAGGCCTGGCTAAAGAAAATGGGCAAATTTACACACATTCAAAGGGCAAACTCTGGCTCGTGTAATGTACTACTACTGTAGAGTACTGCTACGGTCGCTATCCCTCCGCTTTTATTTTTTTACTTCTACTACCGTTGCGCTAGTGATCACATTAAGCGGAACTCACTGTATGTATACGTAATTAATTATATAATTATAAACCAATAATGTTACCTATAATTATTAATGTTTTTTTATATTTTTAAATAAACTATGAAATTATTTTGTATATTTTATGTGTAGTAACACATTATTGTAAGTACATGTTTACTAAATATGATAAATGCTTGCAATATTGAAATTTATGTTCTAATCTAAAACACACATGTATAGTACATTTTAACAAACATATATACGAAGCAGTGAAGAGTAAGTTAAAATTATTTTTCAACTACTTGAGGTTTATTTACAATCGTCTGTCGTCGCTATTACAACAATCAGCTTTCTGCTTTAATTATTGCACTTCATAAAATATTAACATCTGAAAACACAAATACACAATCTTATCTAATAATAGAGACAAGTATACCGGTAATATTATAACCTTGCTAATAAGACAAATTAAATCATTTTATTTCTTATTTTCTGTGAATTCTGCCAACATCCTTTTGATGAACTTTATTATAAATTCAGTGTCCAACTAAAACTATGAATGATAATAAAAATAGTAATGTGTTATATGTTTAAATTAATTTTTAGATAATCCAAGTAAGAATATTTTTACAAAGTAATTATAAATTAAAGAAACATCCTACTAAACGTATGATATCATCTTAAATACTCCAACTAGAATAGACTAAATTTAAATAATAAAACTAAATTTGGTAGTCGAAGAAGAGATTTCAGAAATAAAATCATAATAATAAAATGAAATCTTATTGTTCAATCAATTTTTAACTAACAGCATATAATTTATACCGGTATGGTAAATAATACCGAACCGATAATGTTTTTTAGAAGTTTTGCTCTATGTCTATAATATCAAACATAATAACACAAAATGGTTAATAAGGATAAGTTGAATGTCTTTTATTAAAAATACTGTAGTATATAATACTATTGTGGTTACACAAAAATACAAAATATGCAATGACATATTTACATAATTGTGGAATCTATATGGCACCAAGTATCTGCACTATGTGAGCAAACGCCTTTAAAAATGGGCTCTGTAAAATAATTTTTAGCTTATGAATAAAGTATTATTGATTTCGCTTTAATAGCTGGCATTGATTCGAGTATGACATAAAAACGAATTTGCCAAAAAACTTGTAAAATTCGTCAAAAATAAAGTATCGATTTGCAAATTCTATAAAATAATTTGCAACTATTTGCAATTAATTTGCAAGATATTGGCAAAGTTTTCGAAACGATCGGACAAGGTCGGAGGGCCAACTTCACACACATAGTGTACACAAATATGAATCATTGCATTTTCATCCAGATTTGGTAAAAATACCCTAAGTATGCAAAAATAATAAAATATGGCAAAATAAAACTTCGCATATTCAACCACGGCACCTTGAAATGGATTTTCTATGTTACCAAGCATTCTGCATTGAATACTACTTAGCAAAATTGATATGCAAATGCATGTACAAGCCCTACTTATCAGTATTGCAAGATTCTAATTTTGTCTCAAAAGCGTTTTCAACGCCTGAAATAGATTTCAATTGCCCTTTGATTAATTTTCTTTGAAACTGGCCGAGTGATATGCAATACAGTTATAAGTGACTTGTTGTAGGTACATGAATATACTTGTGTATTGAGATTTAAGATTATTGATTAAAGAAAGAGCTGCAGACTTTGCCACAATGTATATATCATTACATTAATATCGGTAGACGTTTTAGGAGGTGGTCTGGAAATTGGCACTTTTTTCGAGATTAGATATCATTCTTTTTTGCTAGTTTCTGCATAGTGAGCAGAAGTTGTCTTGGGTTGAATCATAATAATCTTATATTAATATAATGTAAGTAATGTGCAGTAGCCGACAACCAGCTTTTGCTATACATCACGGTGTCGATTCAATGTCACTTCATGTAATTAGAACATCCCTCCCTATGGCATTCATTTTAGGAAAATTGCAGTTTTTAAATTTTTCCCATTGCACTATAAGACCTACCGTTGTCTCAAATTGTACGTAACAATCTATCTACCACCATGCGTTTAGATAAATGATTATTTAGTATTAGAAAAATGGCCGGCGCACTGCCTAGCTAATGGCATAATAGAGTTAATAGTGGTAATAGTGTCTGGTCTAACACGAAATATCTGCTCAATATTGTCTTACGCACCTATACAATTATTTATCATTGAATTCTAATTTAACACACGGTGAGGTACGATAAAAGCTTCTATACAGATATAAGCTTCCTCGGTTTTTTTTTGTTATTTATAAAGGTCTCTCCTATTTCAATGCAGGTTACTTTTTTAATTTTTTCAGTTTATTTTATAAATTATAATATACATAATATATAAACCAGATTATAGTAACTTATAACCTTTTGTGTATTTACTATTTCAATTTAATTATTTTTAGTCAAAGATATGCACAAAAAACGTTTGAAACTGTTAAAATTACGTATGCTATTTTATATTTATTATTTGTATATATTATAGATATTATAGAACTGTAATACCTACCATGTATCTCTACCAAATTTCAAACATCTTTTACATACGTTGTATGTCTATTAAACTATATAATGTATAATATTCAACATAGAGGAAGAGGAGGTTCAAAAACTCAAAATCTATCAAATATCAATAAAACTTGGAAAACATTATTTTATTTTATTTATTCCTCTTATCATTTTTCCTTTTAATTTACATCTATCTGTAACTTTGATATGTACAAAATCAATTTTCAAACAAATTTTGAATAACTGCTTCATTAAAATATCAAATCGATTAAATTTAAAACGATGGGAAAGTGTCGGTACTTTTTTACTACAGTATAAATATCACAAGTAAAAATTGAATTAGTTTAATAATATATATTTCAAACTCAGAACTTTAAATAGATACCTACTTAATAGGTACTTACTTTATGTCTTTATATATTATATACCTGTTAATGTTCACAGCCTTTTTATTAAGAAATGAACCCTACAATTTTTACGTATTGAGAATGAAGCATATGGGTAAGCTGTTCGATTTACGAATTCATTCATTTTAATCCTGTATACCTACTTAATATTATAATAATTACATTAGTATATTTCTAAAAAATCTCAGTTTTGTATTTAAAATATAATTTTTATAATTTTTATCATAATTTTAAGTATTAGGTATCATCTACAATTTTATATTATAATTTTCAATGATTACAATTTTTTACATGGAATATAACATAATTTACTTCTTGCGTATTGTAAAATATGAATACTTAATAATGTGACCTTAGATCATATACTATTGGTCATGGATGTAACCTCGTTATGTCTGTGCGTTTGAATTGATGCCAAAATGACTGATAAACTAGAGCATACTTGGATGACTGATAACCCAATCACAATAATCAAAATGAATTACACGAATGCACACAAATAGTCGGGATTCTATAGGTTCGTTCGTAAATCGTGTATTCATTATTTCATGAAGAATTAGCTAAATAGCTACATCCATAGTGCATGATCTAAGAGGGCGTGACAATAAAATCATTAATTTGTACCCTTCAGTTATTATAGTGTTATTACACATGTATGTTGACTGTTAATTATAGTTATCTAGATTTTAGCCCTCTAGATGTTCATAATTATCTTTTTAAGTGCAATTTTACATGGTAAATACTTTCATTAATATTTTGAATATTAACAACTGTAAATTAACGAATGTTCAGCCTCGCATTTACAATCTCAGAATGTTGTAGAACCCACCTACCTACATAATATAGTGGTGTCAATTATATTCTACAGGAATGAGACAGTAACAATAGTTTTATTATTGCGCTAGGTCACTCTGTTGGCTCTTGAAACAGAAACAGTCAAAAACTCTTTATTTAAATTTGATACATTAATACAAGACAGATTCAATTATTTTTACTTGACATTTTATATCAATTTATATTATATATGTGTCTACTGTCCATTAAAAAAAAATAGATAAAAATCGTTTTGTCATGATAATAATTTTGATTGCTTCAACACAAACATATTATCAACACAGATAATACATTGATTAATTATTTTATAATTTTTCTCTTTAGGTATAATACCGTTTCATTTAGACTTTTTAAAAGCTAAATATGATGTATTTAAAAGTAAGATAGTTTTAAGTTATTTTACCATATGTTTTTGGTCATCATGAAAAAAGATAGATTTATACAATCAATATTTTACTTATTTATAAACTGCCCGTAAAATCGTAAATATTATATGATTTTGAATAATATAATGCTTGGTTAAACAACATGTATTCATGATTATTCAACATCATATTCCTATCGTCACAACACATTTTATACTCATTTCATATGTTTTTTGGATAAGTATGAAGCTTATTAATATATAGTTCCACCAACACATTATTTTTTTCACAAGAAATACAAATAAAAATGAATTCATTATATTTTGAAATCTTAAATTGTTTGTGAAGATAAATAATAATGTATTAAACTTTTTAGCCTATTAGTCGTCTTATAAATTATAGTTTTTAAAAATATTCAAGTACAGACACAGATACTCATTTTGAAAATTATTTAAAATACGTATTTGAATACTCAATAAAAAAAAGTTTTTGAGTATATTTACTTTCAAATTTTTCATAAATATTTTCTTCAGGTTATTAACCAAAAATGTCCCTATTTGTGACCAAATAAACCACAAAATACTGAAACAACTATCTAACACAGTAACAAATATCTACAATACCATCCTTCGTACGGAATACGTACCTGAACAATGGAAACGAGCCCAGGTTGATCATGCTACTTAGACCAGGGAAACAAACTGAACTAGTAGCATGAGAAAGCTTTCAATTTTGTTTGACACAAATAATAAATTACTTGTTTAGCTACATAGACAGCCGTGAAGTTCAGATGCTATTATCAGATTGCATGTATTTTCCCAACATTTGTATTCGTTTTTCTTTAAGTGCAAGGTATTTGGATGTATTTGATAATAATAGTATAAATTGTACTTTCCAGTGTATACGGTTAGTTGTATACTAGCGTATACATTTTCAGTAGGGATCAAAGTTAATTTATTAAAAAAAGTAAAATAACCAATATAAAACTAATCTACGTATCCCGAATTGGAAGGTTAGTGTTTCCATTAAACCCGAGGGCGTTTTGTTAATTTGCTTCCCCAATTCAACGTTTCCAAAATATTGCTGTCCGTATTATTGTCACAGCATCAGTACGTCAAAACGACATTATCCAGTGAGATTTGATGATAACCTCCGTCCAGGATGAGATTTCTAAGTTTAATTTTTTGCAAAAAAGTTGTTTTCATTTTTTGAGCTCAAACACGGGGTAAGGCTAAATGAACACACTAATTCAGTAGCAATTAAACTACTTGATAACTCTCAAAACATAAGGCGTCTCTAAAGCCGTATACCATATGACTTAATATAAAATATTAGACTCTGACGAAGGCCTTTCCACTGTTATTTATAACTTGAACATGTTTGTATTTACTTATTTAATATTTAAAAACACCTTTGAAATTAGTTGTTAAAGATCATTGATCGTCATAATAATAAAGACTTCAAGTGTTTAAAAAATGTATATATGTGTGTTTAAATTCTTTTACTATACATTCATATTTGAAGCCATTTGAATGGAATAGCATTGTTTTATTAATGTACCTATTATATTTTCAGCGTGGTCACAAAAAAATATATTTGAAGAATTGGGAATTGATAAAGTTGATGTAATCGCGCGATGATTAAGAATAATTGGAGCACATCAATGGCATAGGATTTAGACACGCTGCACTGGAATTTCACATATTTCACAAAAACATTACGATTGATTTACCAACATTATTTTAAATATTCCATCGGAGTCATATAATTCATTTTAGATTTGTTTTGATTTATATAATATTAGTATTATCTATTCATATTTAAAAGTATATTTAATCATATTACTATACAAGATTATAATTCTTAGATTGCTAAAAATATGATATTATTATAATATATTGATATTGACTATTAAACTACTGATTTTTTTTTAATATACCTATCCGTTACCTAATATTTTTAGAATAATATATTATGAATTTATGATATGTTATTTTTTTAGAATTTAGTTCTAATATAATTTCTCATTCGTGAATCATTTTCATCAGAGTTTTCCAGTGTTCAGAACGTTCACTTAAAACAAAAGTTCATCCAGGCTCATGTTAGTGTTTTTTTATTCAAATAAACGCGTTCACGTTCATTGAACACATGTATATGCATTCACTGGGTCGTTCATTTAATTTTTTAAATTTTTTTCTATAGGAATTATAGTAACAAAATATTTATTTATAATATAATTCATCAATAATTTATTATAAACATTATAAATATCTATTAAATGGTAAGTAAATTAAGTGTCTTAAAAACCATTCAAATTCATTAAAATATAAACGTCGTCACGTTCACGTTTAATTTGAAAAAACCAGTAACATTTATGTATCGTTCACTAAATATGAACGTGCTTTCATGAACGACGTTCTTTTCAAACTCTGGGTCTGGAGTTTTTTCTGTACTTCATCACTACCTGTATTTTGTTGAAGACATTTTTTGTCCCAACATCAGTGTAGGTATCTACCACGTCGTTATTTTCTTTTGCCCTGAAATATGGATTACCGATTTGAATTATAACACTAGGGAACGGATTTTATTGTGAATGCATATTTCCATTGGGATGAGATATTTTTATTCAGATAAAAAATGTACGATTTTGATCATTCTAATTGAAATGACTCCCAATTTAGTTATACACATTTTTACACATTTAGGTATAAATACCTATTTTTACATATTTGACAAATAATTTAGTACAGTTATTAATTTTTTTCCTAGATTTTCGATGACGACAAACATTATCTGCTTTATCTTAAACATTCACATATCGATATGCCACTATTAAATACGCTGTTGATAAGTTAAATAGGTAATGAAAGACTACAATACAGGGGCGTCATTTGGGGGGGCAGACTATGGCAAATGCCCCACTCTAAAATTTTTTAAAAAGTCGGCAATTCTTTGTCCGATGATCAAATGCTAAAATCGGTTAATACTAAATTTGTATTTACTATTTTATACTCAGAAATCAGATATTATTCTAATATTCTCTTTTTTTTTTATTAGTTTTATTACACAATCTGTAAATATATAATTTTTACAATAAGCGTAAGTGTTGTAATAGATTAATAAAAGTGACTGAAGACTTGAGCGAAGAATCCATCCAATATTCTCTTTTAAATACACATTGTTGTACATATACATAATAAAATTATAAAAATCAAAACAATGATGCAAAATTTAATCAAGCCGAATCAGCAAAATTGCTACGACTACATAAGGCGACGTCTGCGACGGAAGCGGGGCTGTTCAGTTTTTGGTTCACGCATTGTCGTGCCTAACGAGCAGTATTTGACGTTTCGTTTTTATTATTTGTTTTTTGATATTCTTTTATATATTATATTTAATTCTTTTAACCAAGTGTTACTGTTTTTCTTTACGACTATTTTAGAGTATTTTATCTTGTGTGTAAAGAGACGTTGGCGGCGGAAAACACTTTTGAAAAAGATAGTAAGACACTGTAATACTTACTTTCTCGTCCAGTACTCGTTATCGTGGTCAGTTGTTAGAGAGTAAAGTAACTTTAGAGTTGTATTGTGTAAAACCTGTTTGGACCTCGTTTAATTATCTTTTGTGCAGTACTCGTCATCGTGGTCACCAAAAGAATAATTTTAATAAAGTTCATACAGCAGGTATCGATAATTTACTTGTTTGACGGTTAGAGAATCGGAAACCGAAACATATCTGTTATATACGTTAAGCCTTTGCGTGGCGTATACGACAACATTCACGGTTATTAATATGTTGGGAAACACTGGCTCCTCCTCAACTTATGACAATCGTTATTACGCAAAATACTTCTATGAAATATCTAGAAAAATTCTAAAAATAGGAATACAACAAATTGTTTGTGTTGATAACATCGATAGCCGTTGCCGACTTCCACGATCTAATCATTAACTAGTATTATTAGTTTTAACTGGTATTATAATTTCATCAAAGTTTTAAATGTACAAATAACAAAATTTTAAGTATTTATTAATATGATTTATATTATTATTCCATTAAACCTAATGATACTTGATAGGAAACTTATAGGATAAGTAAATAAATTAACGTTTTACTATTTTTAATGTTATTATTTAATTGGGTAAATTGAAACGTTTCATGTTATTTGTTTATCATCATGACATCATACTTACATTTTTTGTTCCGAAAAAAATATTCTGTTGATGGTCTATCGTCCATACATATTAAATATATAGATAACCATAATTTTTTAAATATTATGAAGTCGGCAAATTTAATCAGTTGCCCTATCCTTTCAAAAGTTGAAATGACGCCCCTGCTACAATAACAAGATTAGCAATTTTGACGACTAAAAAATACTCTACATAATTTAAATATCATTTACGAACTTATATGCTGCTTAATATACCTACGCTATCGATAAGTACCTCCTAGGTTAATATTTCAGTATAATAATAGTATGTCTAGACTCTAGATCAGGTGGAATTTGAATTGTAACTGTTATTTGCTTGTCTTCGTACATCGAATTTGTGTCGTTCTTTTAATACATAACTGTTTAAAATGTCTAAATTTGCAAGTTCATTAAATAACAAAACCTTTCAAAGCCTACTCTAGCGAGATGGAGTACGTGGTTAAAACCCACTCAGTATTATAGTGAATAATGAGAAAAAATCTAAAAAATAATTTCACATCTATTTCGTATTTGAATTTATATTTTTTAATTTTAATTTTTCGTAATTGTGGAGTTTATGTTTAGTGAAAAGGGAACTAAGTTGTTGGTTATTGACAATTACAAGTTTGGATTCCAAAACAACCTAGCAGATAACATACAGAGGTGGATATGTACAAAACGAAAATGTAAAGCATGCGTTAAATTGAACGGAGATTGTTTATGTGAAGAAGTTCGGCTTACCTTTATAAAATACCTTTTTCAAACGGGAACCGATGTGGGTTTGGAGCTCGGGAACCAATTCGGTACCAGCCGGGGGACTGAGTCCTCCTGCGTCCCTCCCACTTAAACACCTGGATGTAGGTAATATGAAGTAGGTATGTCCTCATTATACATCAGTCGATGTGGTGGAACATTCGTTCAGTGAGTACGGAAACATTTTGCGACCAAATTTTTAATTTTTTTTTAGATATTCTAGTTTTCTTATGACAATAAAGTCGGTTCCCTAATGATGAATGTTCAGGTATAAAATTGTTTAGATTACAAAAAGCTATTACTGAGATAATCTTCTATTAAATTGTCCAATGTTAACTATAAAAAGAAAAATGTTTATGAATTTCTAACTGGAAAATTTTTTTAAATTTTCTCGATTTTGACGAAATATTACGACGAAATTACTTATTACCATTGACATGGTGGTAAGTCTATATAGACTTACTAATATATTATATTTACAATGACAATGTTATTATTCTTTTTTGTAATGGTATTATAGTAGTCATGACCGTCAATGTATTAACAACTTATGTGGAACGTTATAGTAGATCTACTAGTTACTTTATAAAGTGAAAAATTATCCATCGACAATAATTTTTAAAAAAAACTTTAAAAAATCAAAAATTTCTCAGCTCTGCAGAGTCAAGATATTTTGAAAATGTTATCATGTACGGGAAATAGTCACATTTACGTTTGGTAAAAATTGTGTGTAAAATACTCATTTTTCCTCATATTTTTTTTATTTTTCCCGACGCTTTCGAAAATGACTGGAATTTTTCAATTTTGGTCTTGAGGATGCGCCATCTAGATTTACTTTTCCATCATAAAAGGTCCTGTAGTCGGAAATCAGATAATTTTTGTGTGACTTGGTGCATGGCGCTTTAAAACCACATCATTCTTACATTACATACAAACACGAAACAACTTTTTAATAATTTAACTAACTATGTTTTTAAAAAATAACGGAAAAACCAACATATACGGCAATAGTGTATACCTAAGTAACCTATCTAGTATGTATCTATAATTAGAGATCGTAACTTAAATATTGAAATTTGAAATATATAGGTATGGAAAGGTTTTTTAAAAAACAATGATTATAAATATTATGATTTATGAGGTATAGGACGACGGACACAACGGTAGTTACACACTTACACAGAATATATTATTAAATCTTATTTAATAATATATTCTGTGGTAGTTATGTAGCCAAATTGCCTAACTAGAACGCCGTGTGTGATTGTTATTTTCTCGTTGAGATAAAATATATTATCTATAATATATTATCTTATCTTGATGTTTATCCTAGACCTAGAGGCCAGAGGGAATAAAACCGTATGCAGACCGATTTGATCTAAAAGTCTAAAAACCCATACGATTACTATAGGTACCCACCATGAACAATTTTGAATTGTCATTTGTTATGAAATAATTAAAAATAATAAAAATCTATTCTTATATATATTTATAAAAGTTGTTCTAATTAAAAAAAAATATTAATTATACAGATATGTAATAGTTGAAACGGAGACTGCGATCTTTTATAATTTTTAAGCCTGATAAATAAATTACAATTATGTAGATAAGTAAATAAATTATAAGTTATAAATATGGGGAGAAGAACAGAGCCTCGCTCAGAAAATGAGTTAATAATTTAATATATACTTAGTATATTCCAATACCTACGAATTATTTCTGGAGCGGGAAAAAAGTTCAGCGTACGGCCACATTAAGACGAAATTAAAATCTTATAATCTGACAAAAAAAAAATTATGATAGCTAATTTACAGTATTTTTAAAAATGAATAGGTACCCAAGAATTGGGTATGGAGTCGATCCAAAGTAGACTTAACCGCAAATCCAAACCTGTTTTCAGAATATTCTTATTGCTTCGCAATGTCGCAAACGGTACGTTCGGCAAAGAACACGGCTAAAATCCTACGTATC